GCCTTGATCTTGGTGTCTTATCACAAAAAACAGACAATTAATTAAGACAAAGCATTGTAGGAAAGTAAGAGAAGGAAGCTCCTATAGCATGTCAAACTGGCTTACACTGAGATACTGAAGTCATATTTGCCCCTTTCTGATAGTTGTCTATGAGCCTCATTTCCCACCAATAGCTATAAAAAAAAAAAAAAAGCTCTCTGATTTTTCACAATTAACCATTTAGGACTCACACAAACTCATCCAGTAAAGACTAGTAATTACATGCTTGCAATTACAGTGTTCTCTTATAATTCAAAGCCAAGTAAATTAAGAGGGAATTTGTATTGCATAAAGAAAAAAAAAGGCAAGGGGTAATTAGATTAAAAAATAAAATTTGGCTTTAAAGGCAATATGTTCTTTCAATACTAAATTTCTTTAAAACACTTAATTATTTCATTACTTAGCAGGAAAGCTTCATCTTTACCTTGGAAAGCTCAAAATTTACTACATAAGACTACTTTCTGGCTAAACACAAATTATAAATTACTATAAAACATAGTTGAAATTAGTACATATGGATAAATTAAAATAAAAATCATTTGTAAAAATAATAATATTTTTCAAACAACCTTTCCCTCAGGATATGAGTCTTGCAGAAACTGTCTGTAAAAGAGAAAGTAAAAGTGTCTGAAATGCATTTTCATTTTGTCGATATAAAGACCAGGACTAGTTCAGAAAGGAAATGTCTGGAATCCTGCTTCATGTCACAGTGCACAGAGGTTAAAATAATAAACTGCCTCAGGCCTCTTTTAGGGCAGCAAAACAAACCAAAATTGTCTCTGGGGTTGTAAATCGAGGAATGATGTGGTAAAACTGAGCATGCAGAAAGAGAAGTGGGGTAAATGTTTTTTTAATGTTTGCCGTTGGGCAGGATTTTTTTTTTCTATTAGTTTACTGTTCCTAGCAAATATGAAATGCTTTATCTCAGCTGTTTGGACTATTATTATTTGGGTTTAGTTTCCTACTGTGAGGGAAAAAGAAGACCTGGCAGCTATTTTTAAAAATGAGAAAATGATCATCTAGTGATAGATACAAAGAGGAGCATGAGCACTGGAAGGCAGAGAGAAGGAGGCCAGTGCAAGGATGGGACACCTACGCACCTCCTGCTCTCACCTTCTGGAGAGGGCAATATGTTAATTCCATGCATGGCAATAGATTTAGCCTCTTGTTCCAATTCATGCATAGAAGTAAGTTTAAGCTCCTCAAGGGCATCAGGTTATGGTATTCACTCTCAAAGCTCGATTGAGGTTGGGAAGGAACTAATGGGATACTGCTGCTATAAGGAACTATGACTGAGGATCACCTTAGCGCTACAAAAGAGAAGTGGAGGGAGAATAAATCTAAAACCTAGAGCAGACCGGGGGATTGTTGTCACTATGACTCATTAATGCTGCCCCTTAACTAGTTGATGTGTAGCAGACTAATAACAATTTAATAATGCGACCCTGGTTAAGAACTAGCTGATAAACAGGGTCATGATGTTCAGTCACAATTGGTTAAAGAGATATTAAACAGTGAGTTTTAATGGTAGGAGCTCAACCTCACACCCCCCCCCCCCCGTTCCATTTGTTATGTTCTCATGGGAGCATATCCCTGTGAGTTCACACAGTCTCAAGCTAGAGTTTACTCCTTTCAAGCAGATATCACCAAATTCATAATTAGTTATAGTAGAATATATTCCGAAGGAAGAGTGATTGTTAGCTTTAGAACCACTGAGTTTCTGATAAAAGGAAACTATCTAAGAAAGGCATCCATGACAGGCTGGTGAGGAGGTGTTCTGAGTTGACTTGACAAGTTTGGGTAAATCATCCTTTGAAGCCTAGCTGATGGGCTTGAGTCCTCTGTTCCCTAGGAAATGAACAAGTTAAAGAATGACCTTTCGGGCTAAGGAAGTTGAATGTATTGATGTATAAGCAACTTCATTCTCCTGCCTTCCCTGTCCTAATTTACAGTCTTCTCTGACTGGTTTATAGGCGTCTTCAAAAAATTTGATTAGCTTTACTTGAGAGAAACTTGCAGGAGTTTCAGGATAATGATGTGTCAGCTCTAAACTCATTCAGCTAATCTGAGGGCAAAGTTTTCAGAGTAGGAAAGAGCCAGACTCAGAGGTGCTGACTTGTGAAACATGCTACAAAGTACATTTCTACCTAAAAGCTCTCAAATTCTAGTTTTTTTTGATCATGCAAAAGGGAAGAATGTCACAATGGGCAAAAGAAAAAAGATTAAACATCAGCATCAAAACAACAGCAGGTATAAAAACATGTGCTCACTTGAATTCTTCAAGACCAAAGTTTTTCTCTCTCATTGAAATTAGGAAAACAGCCCATATGAAGAAGACAATGGCTGCATCCTTAGATGGGGCTGAAGAGTGTTAGGCAGGGGTGGCCATGTTTGATTAGGAGCCACATGAGCTCAATATATTGTAGGAAAGAGCAGCCAGGACTGGACCTGAAGCCTAATGGTGAGTCATGCCTAAGAATACTGGTTGAATGAAAATCATCTCGGTTCATTAACTCATTCAGTTGCTATTTTTTTACCTGTTCCTGCACCATCTGTCTTGTTACATACAAGACACTCAGGGGAGCACAGTGAGCTTCTTGGTGTTCTCATTACTTGAGCTGTAGATCAAACTACCACAAATCCTTGAGATGTGTCGAGAATTAATTTGGAACATTAAGAAGCCCAGGCTTTTGCTTTATGGCATCTGTGATCCCCAAGAGAAGATTCAGAGGCTTGAGGTTAGATTTATCTGATGTTTGTTTGTTCGTTTTATTAATGGTTGATAGTGGATGTCAGGGAAGACCTTTGTGGGGGAATAATGGAAACTCCTACATATGATCTCATACCATGAACTAGACTACAGCATGGTGGTTGAGTTCCAAGGGTGAACACTGAAGTGTGAGCCAAGTAGAAGCTGTGTCTTTTAAGGCCCAGCCTCAGAAATCATGTAGCATGAATTCCACTGTACTCCATTGGTCAGGATGGTCACATGCCATGCTGAAATTCAGTGGCTGAAAACATTGGTTCTTAATAGCAGAAGTAATGCCAATCACATTGCATGAATACACATACATGTTATCATTTTGCAAAAATATATTTTAATACATTTGATAAGCACAAAAATTATTACATGTTGGCTTAGCTACTTTTCTATTGTTGTGATAAAAACACAATTATTGTTGTTAATTTATAAAAGAAAACATTTAATTTGGGTTATGGTTTCAGAGAGTGAGAGCCCATGATTATGGAAGGAAGGAACAACTCAGAGTTCTCATCTGGATCCATGATCATGGAGGGAAGGAACAGCTGGGAGTTCACATCTGGATCCAGAACCTCAGTGCATGCAGAGACAGATAGAGCACTAGAAATGGCCCAAGCCCACACCCACTGGCACACACCCTCCAACAAGGTCATACCTCCCATCCCAGATAACTGCACCAACTATTCAAATATAGGAGCTATGGGAGCCTTTGACATTCAACACATAACAAAGTAAAAAGTGAAAGTATTACTTGTGATTATTTTGTATGTGACAGTTCAAGGAATCATTCAGTTAGAAACATATTAATAAAAAGTGCTATCTGAATATTTGCATATTCCTTCCCCTGCTCCCCATTTTTGATAAACATCTCATGATCTATCTATACCATTCTCTCTTAATACTTTTTTCTTAAAATTGGAACATTGGAGTGTAGTAATTACAAATTGCTTAAAAACAAACTAGATATTACAAACTAGAAAATAAATTTTGTGTCATAATTTCTTTGACATAAATAGTGGTCAAGAGTAAGCAAGCAAAGAATAATTGCAGGCCAGACCTACTTCTTTCTGTTAAATGTTCTAAAACTGAAGCAAGTCTTTCTCTGTAAAATAAAAATGTTCATGAGCATTTGGAAGATATAATTCACACTCCTGCCAATTTAAGGCTATGTCCTTGCCTTAATCTAACAGGTTGAAAGAGGAGTAAAATAAAAGAGTACCTAGATCTCTTTACCACTGAATATATTTTAAAGAATTCTCAATATTTCAGCCCTACTATTTTGGTTCAGAATGATAAAAATAAAATCATTGACAGGAACTTTCAGGTAGCCTAACCTAAATTCCAAGGATCCATGAGGGAGAAGACAGAGCCAAGGCTTATTAATAAATGTATTTGCAATCTGCCATTTATCAAAGGCTTGGCCTTTACCTCCTGTTTTTTATTTTTATTTTTCATTACTTATGATCAGTTCCCTGGGAGATCCAGTGATCAGTAAAAGGCCCTGACTAGCTGGCTTCTATATAAAGCCTAAGGACTCCCATTATCTGATTACCATTCCCCACATGCTGGAAGGATTGACTCCTTGCTTTCCCACTGTGGCATGACTAATGTTTCCAGGCTTCATGGGACCACCCTGAGTCCAGAGCCCCCAGGCAGACTAGCACTTTTTAGTATGCTGGTATCTAAGTCTTCTAGCAGTCAGTCCTGAAATTATTCTCACCTGCTGGGGCAAGTGCTCTGGTAGGCAACTGGGATATTAGGGAGGAGAGAGAGATACCTCCAGCAAATAGAAAGGCACTTGACAATGGCTATTTCACCCCTAAAACTTAAGTACCTGTGTGGAAACCCTATTGCCATGTTGCTAGAATATTTAGAAAATGCTACTTTCTAGGGGATTTTCCCAGAAGAGATAATAACTCAAGAATGAGTAAAACTTTTATTGCCTTTCTTCTTGCACCTTTTCGTGTGTCTGTGTGTGTCTGTGAGCATGTCTGTATGTATGTGTATGTGTGTGTCTGTATGTGTGTCTGTTTTCAATCATGAGGAAGGTTGCAGAGGTTAGGAGAAAACAAGAGTTACGTATTTCTCTTCAGGGGATTCAGGCTATAGCCTTTACCAAGCACACTAGGATGTTGAACATTCGTGCCTTTCCAGGCATGGGGCCACATTAACAGACACTCCTTCCCTTCTCTCTCCACAGTCAGCCACGGTGAAGCTGTCAAAACCAGTGGCCCTGTGGACCCAGCAGGATGTCTGCAAGTGGTTGAAGAAGCACTGTCCAAATCAGTATCAGATCTACAGTGAGTCATTCAAACAACATGACATAACTGGTAAAGTAACAGTATCTTCCTGCTGGAGTTTCCTGCTAGAAGTTGGCTCTAGAGCAGGCGATAAAGTCCTGACCACATGAGCCATGATACTGAATGAATCGGTGCTTAATAGAGGAAAATGGATTTTGAAGATCTAATGCAAGTGTATGGCGGGGTGGGGGGTTGGGCATGGATCCTAGAGTAAACAAGTCCTAATGAAAAAGAAGAGAAGTCTTGATAATCCACTTGGTTTTCGGATGAGTGTGGGGATTTTGTGAAGGGGAAGACTTTCTACATGGGAAATCTTTCCTTTTTCCCCCTCATTAAGTCAAGTGTATTGACTTTTCTGACTGATTAGCTACATATGTGCAACTAATGATGTAGAAGGATCAATAGTAGAAAGTCATTTTCCCTGCCAAACCAGTCCTGTCCTGTCAGTCATAAAGGCACACTCTGCTTTGTCCCCATCCAGAGGCCAAGTGTCTCAAGCCAAGTTGTACTCCTCACTGTCACTGAGATGAGCACATTAAGGTCACATAGTGAGACTACTTTTCCAACAAGGGTATTAAAGCTTTCCATTGAGGGTATAAAGAAGTGTTTGGGGGACCCCCTGGCAGCAGGATCAGGATCCATCCCTGGTGCATGAGCCAGCTTTTTGGAGCCCACTACCTATGGTGGGACACCTCACACAGCCTTGATGCGGGGGAGGGGCTTAGACATGCCTCTACTGAATGTACCAGGCTCTGTGGATTCCCCATGGGAGACCTTGCCTTGTTGGAGGAGGGAATGGGGGATGGGTTGCAGGGGGGGAGGCAGGAGGGGTGGAAGGAGAGAAGACAGAGTGATCTGTGATTGGTATGTAAAATGAATTTTAAAAATATCCTTAATTAAAAAAGAAGTATTTGGAATCAGAAAAGCAGGATGGCTAGATGTGCTGCAAAGGCCTTTTCTATCACCGCTCTCAGCAGGAGACGACATGAGTGAGAAAGTGCTGTCCCCACCTTTGTGCCCACCACTAGAGCAAGGAGGAACACATCTGGACTTGATCTGTGCCAAGATTCTCCCTGTATATTGAAAGCTCTCCTCCCCACTCCCCTGCACACCTATGCACTGAAAGACAGGGCTGAGGGGCACTGCTCTGTGGGGAGAAATGCTTGAGAATCATGAGTCTGGTCTAGAACCTTCCTGTCTCCTAATAGAAAACTGCGCCCCTCTAGTGGGAAAAAAAATTACTTACCTTGGATTGCCAAGCACTCTAGACACCAAACCTTTTCCCAAGTCCATGTTCTACTTTGAGAAACGCTAATTTTTTTCTCATCCTGATCACTTCCATTACTTTGGAAGGGGATGCATTAGGGAAAATGTACTTCCCTCCAAGTTCAGTTTTCCCATGCAACTCTGCTGTCAGGAGCAGATCTTCCACCTCCCTAAATAAAATTTGGCTGGGGGTTCTCAGAGTGCATTCAGTGGCACCCCTGAACCCTAGAGAGACAAGGAGGGGGTATGTCAGATTGAGAGAAGGGTGTCAACCAAGAGCAGTTCCCTTCATGGCTATCTTACACACTTCATTCAGTAAGGAAGATTATTGTGGAAACAGGGTTCTAGCCACTCAAGTTTTCTTTAAATGTACAGATGGATAATTTTAGAGTCTTGCTGTGTAAGTAATGGGTAATTATACAATAAACATGCCCAGGTATAGCTCAATCTGTTTTAACAAAAGAGTAAATTTCTGACTTAAAAATGGTCATTTTCCTGTTACACCCTCCCCCCAGCTACTGCTGATGCCCTTTAAAATGAAATTCCTAGGACCCTAAAGGTAGTGAGGGTACATATCCTTGAGGTGTCTGGATTTCACATTCTAGTCCTTTGTCTTAAAGTATATGTACAAGGAAAGCTCATAGAGGAGCTGTTGATCTACTCCAAGAGTGATTAGTCCATCAGAACCATTTGCCTGATAGCAGTTATCTCCATCAGATAATGGCTGCTTATGGTCTTTTAATTCCTGCATGATGGTAGTGGCAAAGCCTTTTCACAATCTTGCTTGGGAGCTGTGGTATTACTTATTAATGGTGGAAATTATGGCATACCCTTAAGAGAGAGATGAGTCTTAGAAAGGCTTATATCTAAGGAGGGTGGACAGTATCCTCAGAGTGAACGACTTCAGAGTAGAGGGAATAACCAAGTGCTTGACCAAGTGACCCAAAATGAAGGGATGAGAGTGCAGTGTGGTAGAGCTGTCCCACAACTCTAGACAATGTCTTTAGTCTCCACAAGACACCTCTGTCGTCAGTGAACCACCACACGGGTCTGAGCTCCAGATAACATTGCTTCCTCTGGCCAATTATTCAACCTCACTTCATTGTCTCCCAATTAAAGATAGTACTGAAAATATCACAGAGCGGTGAAAAATGAAGTTGCTATTATAGGTAAGCCAGTAGGCTAACCCTTCTACCTGCGAAACTATGTTCTTATTTCTGTCAAGTTTTATCTGGAATTGTAAAAGAAAAAAAAGAAGAAGCCCCTGACTTTATTCTAAGATCAACCTGTTTCTGTCAGGGAAAGAAAGCAGGGAATGATTTGGGGACTTGGGGAACATGATTTCAGACTAACATTTGGTCCACATCTTTTTGACATGTCCCTGTTGAAAGCCACAGAACCACCACCCCCTTTCCTTGTTCTCTGACCTCTGCTCCTCTCCAGATGAATGTGTGGCACCCAAATCATCCCAAGTCCCATGTGGCCAGCAACTAGCTTCCAGAATTTGTACCAGTCTGCAGTAGCTGGCCACCTGACATTAGAAGCTCCGTAGTACCCAGAACCCTTAAAGTCTGTGATGATAACCAGGAAAAAGATGTCCATTGAAATTAAAATGGGGCTAAGAGCACAGTTAAATGGGTAGAGTCCCTAGGTAGTCTTATACAAAGCCCTGGGTTTGGTTCCCCAGCACCACATAAACCAACTATGGCGGTACACACTTATAATCCCACCACATGGGAGATAGAAACAGGAAAATCAGATTTTCGATGTTATCCTCAACTATTTAGTGAGTTACAGGCTAGCCTGGGATACGTGAGACCCTGCCTCAAAGCAAAACAACAAAAAACAATTAAAATGTAACGTCATGGCAAACCTCAATAGCCTGTGCAACCAGTAGTGTGACCGGGGGAAATGACAAGAGCTGCTGCAAAGAACAGGTCACAGCCCAGAGGTGCAGCATTACTGTGTGCTCAGAAAACTCCAGTTTGCTTCATTTTTATAAGAGAGAGAGAGAGAGAGAGAGAGAGAGAGAGAGAGAGAGAGAGAGAGAGAGAGAGATCCAGTACCACCCTTGTGGTGCTGCTGAGAAAAGTGCCCGCATCACAGGAAGCATACAACAAATGTGGGCTGCTACGGTTTTCCTCTATGCTGTTCTGATCTCCGAGAAAAGAGACCACACATATAAGCCCTGTTGAATTCGTCTAGTTCTATTATCCTGAACACTGGGGAAGTAGTGCCCGAAGGGGAAACAAAATAGTTTGGGCTGGTACATACCCTGTGCGAATCTGAAAGGCTAGGAACAAGATTATTTACCTGTCTGCTGACGAATGCTGTTCATTTATTTTCTTCTTAAAACAAGGATAAACAGGTTCTTGCTCACTGAGGGACCATGTTCTGTCAATGTAACATATAACATAAACACCCCTTGACTTCGAGGCAGCCAGTCCAATGATTGCAATTAAAATGAACATGTATTAAGTGGACAGAGAGGGAGAAGCAGTAGGTGGGTTTCCTGAGTCAAATCATTCTTGATGTTCTTCAGCCCAACGTTTAAGACACAGTAAGCAGCTACTTGATGTCACACGAGCTAGTCCCCATCAGCATGAGAGTGATGTTTAACTTAAAGGGTCATTGGGAAGATTAAATGGGATGATATGTGTGAAGGGCCAAGCTTAATGCTGATAAATAGTGGGCGTTCATCCATTTAGCAGTGTTTATGGAGCACTTACCACTCAGTGGGTTTGAGAAACAAGTAAATAAGGCAATGGAGGATCCATGTAGGAGGAAAGGGCGTACGTGTCCTTAAAATACTGCCACACCATTTTGTGTTACCTAATTCTGAATGGAAGGAGCTGTTTTGCAAGTCTGGGTTGTAGATAACTAGTAGTATACTAACCTCCCACTTTGATATGCTCTTCTGCTTTAAATACTAATCTTAATTACTAATATAGTATATTAATTACTAATGATAAATAGTAGTCTGAAAATATTTAGTGGAAACATCTTTGTTTTGAAGATACTACATTCACCTAACTTTTATTGTTCTGTAATGTTTCATTGGTTACTCTTCTGTGCCCAGCTTATAAACTCAGCTTTCTCATACTTCTACACATAGGAAAATAGATGATATTTTTAGGCTTCAGTATGGGAGATCTTGAAATATATCCCTGGAGAAAAAAACAGGAACTTCAGTAGAACCAATTTTATCTATTCACATGTAAATTATGTCCCACAGAGGTTTGCTTGGCTCCCCAGCCTCTATAGAAAAGTGATCTTGGCCTTGCATTTGCCTACTGATTTCAGCCATCCCAACCTGCAATTGTGTCTGCTATTGGATTCTTTTTTGAACTAATTATTGCACCTTATCAGTTTCCTCAATAATGAATCAAATGGCGGTGGTGGCGCATGCCTTTAATCCCAGCACTCTGGAGGCAGAGACAGGCAGATCTCTGTGAGTTCCAGGAAAGGCGCAAAGCTACACAGAGAAACCCTGTCTTGAAAAAAAAAAATAAAATAAAATAAATAAATCTTAAACACGTATTAACTTTTGTATGTGGGAATGATATAAAATTTTTGTTTTAGACAAGGTCTCATCAAGTGGCCGTATCTTGTCTGGTTGGAACTTGCTAAGTACATACCTGGCCTTAAATTTACAGCATCTCTTCTCCCTCAGTCTCTGAGTCCTGGAATTACAGGAGTGTGCCATCCTGCCCACCTTGATTTTAACCTTCTGTTTGAAATTGACACATAACCTTAAAACACTC